CTTAAGTAGGCAGTTGAAAATATATATGATTGTGAGTTCAGCAGAGAGGTCTGGGTTGGAGATGTAAATTAATGACAGTTCTCATAGGAGTGTAGAGAGAAAAGGGAAAAGATCTAAGAACTAAGCTCTTGGGCACAACAACTTAAAAAGGTCAGGGCATGACTGAGAAGGGAGTAAGTAGCCAGTGAGTTAGTTATGAAGAAAAAAAAAAGTAAGGTTTCTTAGAAGTGAATAAAGCATTTCTAGGAGAGAGTGAGCAACTGTATCAGAAGCTGCTGATTAAGTCAGACGAAGACCAAAAATTTGGCCACTGCTGACCTAGAGAAGGGTGATTTCAATGGAGTGTGTTTGGTGGCAAAGCCTAAAGAGTATGGGTTCAAGAGCAACCTGAAGGAGAGGATGTAGAGAAAGAGTATACAGACTGTTTTTCCGTAGGGTTTTTGTTTTAAAGAGTGGGAGAGAAATAGGGTAATAACATGACGAGTACAGAGGATGAGGGGTTTTTTGTTGTTGTTTTAAGATGGGAGAAATAATAGTATGTTTGCATGCTGACAGGAAAGATCTGACAGAGAGGGAAACAGATTATGCTGGAAAGAAGGGGGAAAATGCTGGAGTATGTTTTTAAAGTATGTGATTTAGACACTAAAGATGTCATTAAATATAATTGAAGAGTATCAATTAAAGTAAGAGGACTGAGGTTTTATTAGCAATGGCAGACAGTGAAATTATTGTGAAACAAAAATAAAAATGTGTTACTAATGGTAAAAGGGAACTACTGATGTATGGAATTAAAAAGGAAGTCTCCAAATTCATCCAATTCTATATGAGAAAGTAGTACTTATCAAATATCTGGAGTAATTAATTTTATATTTAGAAGTGAAAAAAATCACAAAGTAAAAAAATGAACATGCTGAAGTCAGTAAATAAACTCCCTATACAACTAAAAATAAAGTACCAAAGAGAAGTGTTAATTAGATTGAGAAACAAATTTCATCAAAATATGACTTAAGGTTAATTTCTTTATTATGTAAGATGCTCAATCAAGTAACCAAGAGATAAATGGATAAAGTACAAAAAGGCTATTTGCACAATAGGGGATATAATTAATAAATATTAGGACAAATACTAAGCCTTGCTAATAAGAACTCAAATGGAAAAGAAAATAATGAGATGTTACACTTATTAGGAAAGTATAAAAAAGTTAAAACCCTCAAATCTGGATATAATATGATAAAGATAGTACTCATATGTTATTGGTGGCAATATAAAATATTAATATCCTTTTGGAAAGCAATTCATATCAATGGTCATAAAAATATTCAGTCTTTGAGATATATTTATCCTAAGTACTTAAAAAGTATATATAAATGATATCCATTGTAGTATTATAAGTACACTGAAGCATTACTTGTAATGAAATATTAGAAATGATCTAAAAGCAAAATTAAAAAATAGATGGATATGAAAATTATGAATACTGGCCTGACCAAACAGAAGATAGATTTCAGAGCAACATAGAAGATGCTTATAATAATAAAAAATAGTAGAATACATTTCTGACCCTACTCTAATTACATATAAAGAAACTGAAAGACAAATGTATACTGAAAATAGTTTAAACGTTCAGTATGCTGGGATTGTAAGGAAATGTATTCTTCCTTGTTCTGCTAAAATTACTAACGCTTATTGAATACTTACCACATGCATGATGCTAGAGTGTGGAGATTATTTAATCTTATGAGGTAGGTTATAGCCAATAAATGGCAGAGCTGATATTTTAATTCAAGAAATCTGTCTTTGGTCCTGATCTTAACCACAATGCTATATTATATACACAAATTAAGAAAAATTAGAAAAATGGGATTTTCCTCAATCTATAAGAATCGTGTTTCAAAAGGTTATGTATGGGCATCACATATGAATGTAACATTATTTGGTCATCTCAGATTACTATTCCTTAATAACTAACTAACCTTCCAGTCTTATCTATAAAGTAAGTTGGTTTTAAACAGGTTGGGACTAATAAAAAATCCTCTCACAGCATCACAGAATGCTAGAGCTGTGTAAGAGTTTGGAGATTACCAGATCAGATTCCTTTATCTCTACAAAGAAACAGGTCTATAATCAGTAAAAGGCTGACTCAAGGTCATTCAGCTGGTTAATATAACCGAAACTAGTTCTAAATTCCAGGTTTTCAAATGATAGTCCAATGATATTTCTTTCTATATCATCTTACTCTCCTATTTAATTAAGAAAAAAATCTATCTATACATCTTTTATGTTTTAAGTGTACAATAAATGCTATATATCAAAGTTTGTGTGCTTTAAGCTAACTTATTCTTTACAACAGTTTTAAGGAGGTAAATATTATAACCATTTTAAGGTGATGAAACTGAGGCTCAGACAGGTTTAGCATGTTGCTTTGGACCACACAGCTATCAATTGGCATTCAGGTTTGATTCCAAAGCCAGTGCTCTTCCCTGAAATGGTCTGCCACAAGGTTTGGAAGAAACTGCTCATGCACACAGGGAGTTTTGGTTATGGAGGTTCCTTGTGTTCCTTGTGCATTACACCAGAGATTCATGTTGAGAGAACTGATTGATTTTTCTTCAGGCTCAGAACTAGCTGGCTGTTCCAGTGGGTTAGAAAGAATGTAAGTAAATTTTACATCCAGATGTACAAAAAGCTTCCAAGTTTATGTAGATCCTGGGATTGATCTTTCCTGTCCTTACAGTATGATCAAGCAGAAAAGAGTCAGTGGTAAGAGACAGAGAAACTGAGGAGCAAAGGCGCAAAATATCATGATGCTTCTGATACCTGACAAGTGCGCCTTCTAACATGCTAATGGTTTAATGGCTCATGAAATACATTTCTATGACCTTATCTCCCTCATGTTTGTGTTTCTTTTCCTTTGCCTCACACTTTAAATTCTGTAGGTTCTAGCATCACAGGCTATAACTCCCTCTCCTCAGTTAGGGAGCTCCCTAAGCGGTCTCCCTTTCTTTAGTGTCTCTCCAGGTACAAGGGAGAGAATCTTCCAAAGGCAAAGCCATTGTTGCCTAATAAAATTGATCATTTCTTCCTGAAATTCCTTGAAAACAGCCCCCTGTGTACCTTTCTAGTTCTCTCTCCTCAGTCCCTCAAGTCCTCTCTAACTAATCTGGGCTTTCTCATCTCTGTGCTTTCACTCACAGCCATACCTTTATCTGAGTCTTACTTTTTCATCTTTGGCTGTCTAAATTCAGTTGTCCTTAAGGCTCATGTCAAACGTAATCTCCCTTGTTTTTTTTCTGATTCTCCAACTAGATATAATCTCTTCCTTATTTAACCTCTATAGCACTGGGTGTAACTCTTATAGGACTTGACATTCTGATTCGTACTGCAGGTATAGTGTACCTAAACTATCAGTTCCATTAAGATCAACTAACCCTGTTACTAACCTTTGTGTTATAGGTAGCACCTAGAAAAGATATTCATATTCATAGTTAATGATCAAAAGCAAAAATCTGATTTGAGTAATGCAAACGAAATCAACTTGCTTTACAATTTGCTATCCATCATTTAAGGACTGGTCAAAGGAACCCAGAGTTTAGGAAAAAAAAAAAAAGTGCAGCTTCTTAATGGGGCACTTGAATTTTTAGGTGCAGACACAATTGCTAGACCTTTACTAGGTCAAAAAAGGTATGTCTGTATTATGTAAGGGAGACTCAAAGAGGCCCCAAAAAGCTAAAAAGCAATCTGAAGACACCTATGGTAGGCTTTTATTTCTTGAGTTTTAGTTTTGTACAGATGAGCACAAGCTCTGAAGCTTTAAAACTAGAAACTGTACTGATGAAGGACAAACTACATTAGGGCGACCAAGTGACAAATTTTGACTACTACTGCAAATCAGGTTGATTGGGGCTACTAAGCTATTGATTCACTCCCAAACAAAAATCCAAAACACTGAAAATTTAGCTTTCTTCCTAGTAAAAAACAAAATTGAATATCTGGTAATGTTATTTTTTCCACATTCTAAAACTAACCAGAGAAGCCTGCACCTCACAAAAACATTTCATAAAGACACTGAAACAATATTACGCCTACAGAGATCATGAATAATGAACTCGTGGGCCCCTGGCTGTAACTACGTCACTGTTTACATTGTGACTTTTTTTTGAGGAGGAGGAGGGGATTAAGATGGAAATGATGAGAGGAAAAAAATTTAAATTGTAGTCAAATACTTTTACAGAGTAAACGCCACAACTCAACTAATTTTTTTCTATGGATCTGTAGCATTTGTTGGTAAGAGCACAATGAAACGAACCCATCATTTGAACAAAGGCAACAGGCACCTGCAGCCACTCAATCACTTAGCAAATATTTACGCTAAATTCTGGAATCTGGGAGAGCAGACGGGTGTCACCATTCAATAATGCGGTGCTTTCTCGGTAAACTGTAAATCCTGGGGCAACTGGGACCCTTCCCAGGGACCTGAGCCGGGAGCCGTCTCGGGTTTTTGGACAAATCTCTCCTCCTACCACACGTGACCGAATGGCAATCAGCCGTGGAGAGACACCGCAACGCACCAGCCGCGGGATACAAAGGCTTCGCGCGGCCGCGGCATCCTCCCGAGGAGAGCGAAGCCTCCCGCGCTCAGCGTCTGCGGAGCTTGCGCAGGGCGCCGCCGCGAGGTGCGCCGCT